AAAAAAGATTGAAGAGTTAGATGTATCATTGGCACTTGATCACAATGCAGACCTAGCAAACACAAATAAACTCTATTTGTTATTAATTAAATTTAGTCCGTTTTATTATGTTAATTTCCCCACAAAACGGAGAGAAAACTTTAGTTGTTTGACGTCAATAGTTTCATTTTGATTAGAGATGCTCCCTGCAGCCCCTGAGATATACTGTATGCATGGAATGGGGTGGATGAGTGATTAGATGTCCTCTTCCTCTGATCGTTTGTGCCAACGTGCAAATAAATAACCTGCGAACGCAAATAAACAGAGGCATCCATCATGAGAGCGTCCCAAAGACAGTGACTGATTTCTGTAAGAGGCTCCTGAGGGAACAGGATACGTGACACTGGCACTTTTATTGTGAGAAATGGCAGCTGCCAGTGCACCAGTATTCACGTGGTGAGATGTTGGAGACGACTGCACTGGATGGGTGAGCAGGCAAGCGTGTGATTTCTGCTGGTATTTTTATCATTTCACGTAATGTGACTCTATGTTGATGAACAACATGATTAGATGTTTCTTTTTTTTATTGTGTCCTTGGGAATTGATATGAGCTTAAAAATTGAGATTGTTGCAAAGAGACTACATGTTTTCCTAGTGTGTGTGTGTGTGTGTGTGTGTGCTAAAGTCACAATTGCTAAGGTGTTTTGAGTGTTCTTTAGCACATAGGCTATTATGCATTTGGAAGAGTGTTCTGGGACGTTGCTAGGGTGTTCTGGGTGTTGGTATAGAGTGCAATAGTCGGATCCAGAAGTAAAAATTCCATTCATTTTGACAGGGAATTTGATTTTTAATGATAACTTGTTAACTGTTCAACAGCAGAATTCCAGGTGAAAACTACATTACACATGATTTGCAAAAATAATAATAATTTTATATATATATATATGTATATATATATATCAGCATCTTTAAATCAGTAGTTTTATGTTTATCCATTGTTTTTCCTTTATATCATTCACAGTTCTTTATGGGATTGTAGTTCTTTCCTTCTTTAACTGTTAAAGGGATAGTTTTCCCAAATATGACAACTCTGTCATCATTTATTTTCCCCAAGTTGTTTCAAAATGTATGAACTTTGTTTTTTTTTTTACACAAAAGAAGATATTTTGAAGAATGTTGGTCATCAAACAGTTGCCGGTATAGCCATTAACTTCCATAGTATTTTTTTCCATGCTGTAGATGTCAGTGGGGAGCAGCCAGCAACTTGAAGGCAGTTTTATGTATATCTTTGTCTTTTATCCAATTTTCAAATACTTATTTGCTACATACCAAAGTTTGTAATGTGATTCATCTCGTAGCTGGTTTGTTCATGTCTTATAACTCTAAAAGACCCTTTTTAAAAAAAAAAAAATCCCTATGGGACAAGTCAATTAAAAAAAAAATGCTGAACCAAGGTCACTGAAAAGTGGACAGACACTGTTGCACACTACTGCTAAGTTTTTGCTTACCGGTCCAAGTCGAAAGAGCCCACACTAAGTCTCACACATAGTTTAATTATCCAAAATGTGAAAAGTGTAAGATTAGAACAGCACATATCGTCACAGAAAGCCACATAATAGAACGTACTATTAAAGATATATAATATAATGATAACAAAAGGTTTGCAATATCATTTAATTCATACTTACTTGATGAAGCCAGACCCCTTTCACTGAAGCCACACCTCTTTTGTGAGCACTTAACTAAACCATAACCCAAAACACTTTCTATAAATGTAGCGTCTAGTCTATTTTATTTTATTTTAACTCCCCATTACTGTAAATTGTTGATTCCTGTATGAAAAAAGGTCACTTTGGTTGAAAGATTTAATTGAATTTTAATCTAAATATTTATCAATTTAAATACATTTAAATATTTGTATTCATTTTTTAAACATTTAAATAATTCTATTTACTTATTTATTTACTCTTCTAAGTTCATCTGTATGCATCTAATTGTGTCCCACATTTTTTTTCACAGTTGTTTCTTTGAGCACTCAACTTTGCAGTTTGTTCGTGCCCCTGTTAACAGCCCTCTGCTCTCCAGTGCTTCTGATAGTTGCCAGCCCAATAAATACTGTCTCTGTACCCGGCGATCCAGTCCCCTGCCCTCCTGCTCTAAGATTGATCCCTTATCCCCACCCCTTCTTTTCTCTCGTCGCTGCCAGACCCGCAGCTTTAGAACCCATGTGAATAGGTGAAACTCTGAGGCTCCAACAGATGGCCAGAGCTGCCCTGATTCAGTCACACTGCTGCCGGATGAATACCAGCTCAGAGAGCCCAGAAAGAGTGGAAAAAACGGAGTTCGAGGAGAGCAAAAGAGAGATGGAGAGAGTGATAGAGTTTCCCCCATGTGTGTGGGAGAATAAGGGGAAACGGGGACGTGTTAATATGCATGAGGGGAAGAGTAACTGTGTGAGAGAGGGAAAGAGAGACAACAAGAGAGGGGAGTGGACGATATTGAATTGTAGATTGAGGGACTTCTTTCCCTCCCGCCCTCTTTTATTTATCTGCTATGGAACCACGCCTCCTTCCTTTCACCTCTCCGTGTGTCTATATCAGTGGACCGGCTATGAGAGAGCCCACTTGTACGGCTGGCAGAGGGGGAGTCGAGTCAGCGGGGGTCTGGCGAAGACCGAACAGGTGACGGATCATCATATCCCTGACTTTAACGCTTCCTGTAGTTGCTCTGTTCTTCAGGAAGGATTCAGAAGTGGGCATTAGTGAGGTACGTGCCTTTGTCCCTAATTATTGCTTTGTAGCACTACCTCTGTCAGACTGACACCAGTAATGGATACACAGGTATATTCTTCCATTGTTAAAGCAAATTATAATTTTCCACGCTCTCCAGATTGTAATATGCAAAAAATCTGCAATTCTGAAATTACTGATATTTTGTATACATTTGTCTTGAATGCTTATAAAATCCCTAAATTGATGTCTTTTAAAGCCCAAATCATTGGCATTGGGAGATTCAGATAGTTGTCTGTTGTGATTCTTGGATTTCTTTCCATTTATTAAACCTTTTTTAGGTTTGTTTCTTCTAGTCTTCTCAGACTCTTCGTGTTGGTGGCTTATAGTTCTTGTTTTTTTATATCTCAGATTTTTGTCCCTCATACTCGCAGTCACTTACAGTACAATGCTTTAGTTGGGTTTGTGCATGATTTTGGCCCTTTTAAGGACTTTAACAAGAGTCTGTCGTCACCCTTTTAAAATGCTACATGACTCACGTTGCATTTTTGATGGTGAAGAACTGCTCTCTGGGTCAAGTAGGTCTCTGTGCATGATTTTGGCCCTTTTAAGGACTTTAACAAGAGTCTGTCATCACCCTTTTAAAATGCTACATGACTCACGTTGCATTTTTGATGGTGAAGAACTGCTCTCTGGGTCAAGTAGGTCTATGGAAGCAAGTGATGTTTGGAGGGATTCGTTGGCTAAAATATGCATCAGTGAGTTTGTGCTTGTGTTTGCTGTGTGAGGCTATGAAGGTAATGACAAAGGTGATGGGGGCTGAGAGATCTGTGCCTTAGTCATTCATTATTTAATGTTCACTCTGTCTCCGCTCAGCCTCATAACAACTGGCCTCCTTTTCCTCTTCTGCTGTCTGAACCAGAACTGTAGACCAGGTCCTATGACATTTAGTGCATCAGACCTGTACAAATGAATTCACATGGACAATGTCACATATTTGCTTCTTTGATTAGTAACCTAGAGATAGTGCTGAATTTGAAATATTTCTTATTCAGTTTACATCTTGAATCTCAGATTTAGTGGTCTCGGGTTTTTGGACCCTCTACACAATGCATCTTCTTTCTTTTTTCAAAGATTTCTTAAAAGTAGATCAGCAGTAACTTTAGAGCTGAGTGAAACTGCTCATTTGGGACCTCTGTCTGACAGCACAAAAAAAAATTTGATCTCAATTTTCTAATTCCTGAGTGGGAGCTATTTAGGGTTCATTTGCATATGTCCGTATAGCCCTCAATAGGGTTCTTGTATGTTGTGATGATTTAATTTAATTTACAAGTTAGAAACCACCTATTTTTGCATTCCTTTGTCTACATGTGACAATATATGTTTCCATATAGTTGGTTTTAAAATGAAAGACCACATAATGGACTCATACAGTAGCTTCACTGATTTTATGCAAGGTACAACCCAGTGTCATGAGAAGTCACAATAATAACCAAAATGGTAAATGGATATACATTTCAAACTTAAACCTAACCATGAAACCCCACTCCTTACTGAACCTTATATCTAACCATTATTGTAAAATCACTCTGATTATTTTTTTCTTGATTGTTCATAATTTTTTGTGCCCAACGCATTGCTGTTGTGATAGTCAGTAGGTTATTTGTTGTGATTCTCGGATTTCTTTCCATTTATTAAACCTTTTTAGGTTTATTTCTCCTAATCTTCTCAAACACTCATGTTGGTCTCGGATTAAGTCATCATAATTGTACATCCCAACTTACAGTACAATATTTCACCATTTTTGTCCATTTCAAACTTAAACCTAACCATAATTTCTCACTCCTAACCAAATCTGTAATTTAACCATGATTGTAATTGGAAAACCCTATTAAAGTTATGTTTTCGTATGATCCAGGTCACACAATATCATATGATTTCGTCATCAGTTGTAATGAGTGTGTTAGCAGCGTAATTGACAGACTAGAAAAGAACAGATTTGACACAAAGTAAGGAATCATTGACCTTTCTCAAGGTTAAACCATCAAATCGCTGAGAAGTTGAGTTGTGTTGGCACTTTTTAATCTCTAGAGTAAGTACAGGTTTGATATTTAAGTTAACCATAAATATTTTTTGATATTTTGAGAACTGAGTCGGATGTGGTCAAATGAGGTCTGTAAATCATTAAGTGCAAGGCTTAAAGGGTTAGTTCACCCAAAAATGAAAATTCTGTCATTAATTACTCACCCTCGTGTTGTTCCAAACCCGTAAGACCTTCGTTCATCTTCGGAACACAATTTAAGATATTTTTGCTCGCATCATGGTACTGTCGTGAACGCACGTCCAAAGTGACGCAGTAGAGACGAAAATGTGGAATAAAGTCGTTATTTTTGTTTTAGACAGAATTTTACAGATTTTTATTTTTGGGTGAACTGACCCTTTAAATAAAATTATGATAAGCAGTGAATGAGGTTGTGCACATATTATTTATCTACTTGTATATATTATCGCAAAAATGAGCAAGATTAGATGGGATGTGTAAAAGGTTTTCTTTTTGTCTTTCTCATTTCTCTCAACATCTCTTACGAAAACCATCCACCGAAACCCCAGAAAATCCATGGGATTTTTTTTTTTATCAAAGAGTCTGGACACTAGACAAATCCGAACCCGCCTAGAGCATGTCTATGTGAGACACAAGGTCTCATTTTCATGAGCTGCTGAGAGCAAAACAAGGCCTGATATGAATCTAAAGTATAACTTGAGCCTGGTGCCCACCGTCTCACATGTTAATGCTGACTGGAAGTCTTTGATGAGTGATTTGGAGTACAGCACCTCTGGCGGTGTCCTCTGAGGCAGTGAATGCATTACAGAGCTGTGCCAAGATATGGCAGGTGTCCAGCCGAGATCTGTAATTACATTCAGCCAAGGATATGGAGAACATCAATCTTAGATCAGAATCAGAATTTGTAATCAAGTGTTTTTTTTTCAGTCAAGATCAAATGTGTATTTACTTCACTAATCAGATAACTGGTGAATGTTTTCAATTGCTTTTTGAATGCTAATATGCCATTGCTATAATATTACCTGTTTACTCATTACTCGTCACTCGGACTCCTCCCACTGTAGACCACACCTCTCTCCCAGAAGCAATGAACATTCAGGTCTAGAATCCATCTCTCGTCTCATGTAACATAAACATCTGTCACAACAGCAGTAAGTGGCTCATTGGTGCTTAGATGAAATGAGTATGTTGGATATGGATGTGGGAGTTTAGGTTTTAGGCGCCCTTGTAGATTTACATTGAAAGAGAGAGTTTAACCTCAAAATGAGAAGTTGCTCCAAACCTGTATGACTTTCTTTATTTTGCAGATAACAAAAGATGTTGTGAAGAATGTTCCAGTTGTTTTTGTCCATGCAATGGAAGCCATTAAGCTTCAAAACATCATTGGACCCCAATGTCTTTCATTTTAACTTACAAACAAACTATCCTTTTAAACGGATAGTTCACCCAAATGACATCAGTGGTTCAACCTTAATTTTATAAAGCTACGAGAATACTTTTTGTGCACAAAGAAAACAAAAACAACGACTTAATTCAACGATTTCTTCTCTTCCGTGTCAGTCTCCGCTGTGCGTTCACGAGAGTACCACAAACGAACGTCAAGTAACACATTGAATTAAACATGAAATTTTGAAGTAAAAAGATTGAAATAGTATTTTGTGAAACCAATAACCTTTTTTTTTTACAACTTCATTTAAAAAAATCACTTTTTATAGTGAATACTAATAAAGATACAAGACAGCCTAGTTTTTTTTTTACGAGGATGTAGGAACGTGCTTGGCCATTGACTATCTTTAGGTGTTTTGAACTTGATTTTAGCAGGAATAGGGAAGCAGTGTAGGGAAAAAGCAGCAATGTGATGTGAAAGTACTTGGGAAAGTTTAATAGAGGTGCTGCAGCATTCAGGATGAGCTGCAGAGGTTTGATTACGTACCCTGGGAGACAATTGTGACAGTCATTGGGACTAATGGTGAACTGCACACCAAAGGAAATTACAGTGACCTTAAAGTGATCAGAAGCACTTATGGGCAAACAGAGAGTCTGTATATGAGAATATATAGAGTTTTCCGAGTGATGTTATCGGTATTTATTGAGTGCAGTTTTTAAAACATTGTTCATATATTCGACATATAAAGATGTGTCTTTTTGCTCGTTTTAAAATAGCATTTCTTTTCCTCATTCTTGCCGTTCTCCTCAATCACGTACCCTGAGGGTTCTCCCTACTGAGTTCCAAAGGGTCTCACTCAGACTTCAGCTCACATCTACCCATTACTCTCTCTGGCCTTCTCTCGCACACCGTATCTATCTCTCACTCCCTCAGGAGCTCAGCAGGCTTTGTGGCTGCTTATTAACTTTTATGGAATTATAGATTTCTGAAATTGGATTTTCCCAACTCACTAAAGAAAGCAAGTTTTTCTGGCCTGAAACTTAACTTGAATGTGGACAATTAGTTTAGATCATGGCAGGTTTATCTGTCTCTTTCCAGTAGTTTTTTCCCCTTCTCTAGTAGAATCAAATCACAATAGCCTGTGGTAGATGAAAGTTTAGATGAGCACTTTGTCTTTATTTGTGAATGGGTGTAACGATTCAGTCCACTGAAGGCGAGCGTAGTGAAGAACCCAAGTGCAGTTTATTTACAGTGATCCAAACATCGAAACATAATCCAAACAGACGAAGACTAGAAACAATAATCCGTGACCAGACTTGACATGAACAGACTAGACTCACCGACAGCGGGTTACAACTTCAATACACGACGAAAGACAATGGCAACATGAGGGCTACTTATAGCAGACAAGAGGGTCACATGACAAGAACAAACCTATAGGAAACAAGACACATGACTAGGACAACCAATCAGAACATGACACAATGAACAAGAGAACCAATGGCATGAATACATGAGGGCAAGGGAAGCATGACACTAACAGGGTGAAACAATTACAAAATAAAAGACATGAAAACATGAACATGAA